GTTTGGCAAAGCCATTCAGAAAAAAAATGAAAAAAGGATATATGTTGAGTAACTTTCAAAAACCAAATCTAAGGCTAAATGTTGGAAATGAATGAGAGAGTATGCTAAACCAAAACCAGGGGCTGAATTGATTTTGAATTTTTTTTGAAAAGATTTACCCTTTTTAAATATTGTCATGAATGCTTAGTTTGTTTCATTAAGCCACCTTATTTTTGGATGTGGAAAAGTTGGTGACTAGAATGCAAGGATTTTCACGTGGTTCTCTTCAGTGGTTGAACTGTAATTGTTTATAGGCTAAGCATGACTTGTTACCATTATTTATATTATTTGTGTGATTTTGAACTCCATTCCTTGATCTTCAAATATCAGTAGGATTTGGGAGTTGGATTATACTCATTTGATTGAAGTCTCATTGGTTTGGCTGCAATCTAATTCGTATCCAATGAATGTTTCTAGCAGGGGAAAAAGAGACATATTGTGTGGAAGCTGTAATGGAGCTGGCTTTCTTGGTGGATTCATGAGCACGTTTGATGATTAGAAAGTTGCCCAGATTGAATATTACAAGAAATTTTTATAGTGATGGCCAAAGAAATGAGTGGAGACTACGAAGCAACATGGATGTTCTTCTGTTGGTATAGTTAAGTAATGTTATCCTTTAAATGAGGTTTAAGTCATCGCGGATATGGTCGTGGTTTTAGATTGTACCAAGTTTTATTAGTGTTAGCGTTAAAAATTATAAATACTATTTAAGATAATTAAGCTAATAAGAATGTTTTAATCTTAATACAGGGATACATATGTTGTAATTTTAAAATGTTATTTTAAAGTTCAGGTTACCGTTGTTGTAGTTGATTACTATGAAAGAGTAACTTGATTTCTCAGCAGTTGAATTATGTCAGAGTTTCCAAGTGATTTGGGTAACAGGCACACATCTTTGTTTTCTTAACATCATAAAAATACAATTTGTTAGTTTACAACAAAAGAATTACAATTTAGGACGTAGTTTTTCTTCCTAACGAGCGCCCTGTGATAGATAGGCTTTACAATTGTGCCACAACTGCCTTTGAACCTGTCGTCATTACGTTGTACCTCTATTCCCTGCTGCACCTTTGCTTAGGAAGCTACCATGTAGATTTCGAAAAGCTTGTTTCCCAAATTTATTTCATGTGTTTTATAAAACATTTCTATAATGTATTTATATGTTTTATAAAGTGTGTTTTGAAAATCTTATTTCAGAAATATCGAAAAGAGAATATTTTCATAATAAATAATAATTCAGAAGTCACTACTACAAAGGGTATAATGGTTATTCTAAAATTTGTGCGGGTGGAGATAAAAAAGCATACACTTTTTGCTTTATGACTTCATGATGGACCCTCTAGCAATTTTTTCTATCGCAAAATACTTTTATCTGGACCATGGTTTCTTCTTGCATGCTTTTGGAGAGTGAAATAAGAAAAATTAACTCTATTAAAAAAGTATAAATTTTGGTCTACCTTGCTCTTTCATTACATGGGCACAAAAAATTGTCTTCCCATAAGCGTTCACAGAGCAGGCAACTTGACCATGGCTTCATAATCAATCTTAACTTATTCTTGAATAAGTCTCATTTTAGGAAGATCTAAATTAAGGAAGCTAAAACTTTAGGTCAAAGGTTAGAATGGATTGACCAAAATTGAAGGTCTAATATGCCTGAGTTGAAGATTAAGATGAACCAACTCAAATCAAAGATCGTGACAGACCGATCTAAGTCAAAGGATAAGATAGATCTAAGATGAAGATGAGTCGTCTTTAATAGAAGATTAAAACCAATCATTTTAAGTTGATGGTTGAGATGAACTGACCAAAATGATCCAAGTCAAAGGACGAGATAGATCTAAGGTGAAGATGAGTCGTCTTTGATAGAAGGTTAAAACCAATCATTTCAAATTGATGGTTGAGATGGACTGACCAAAGCCAAAGGTTGAGATAGCCTGATTCGAGCCGTAAGGCGAGACGAATGAGCCCACAAAAAAGGTCGAGACAAGACAAAGGTCGAGATAGACAAACTTGAACGATAAAATAATAAAAAATATCTGATTAAAGATATTGATAAGTTGTTTATGAGTAACTAACTGAATCTAAAGGTAAGTTTGTTTTTATTTTATTGGATTTGTGCTAGTTTAAGATCCATGAGATGACTCATAAATATAAGGTAAAGGCCAAAAGCCAGGTAGGTTCAACCAAAACTCAAATACTCAATGATGATAAACAATTCACTAGACCAGGCCTAACTTGAGCGTCAAATATGTCAAAAGTTGAGACAAAAGTTCAAATTAAAGGTTGAGACAAGTTTGTTCGCTCTGATGGTAAACACGAGTTGATCCAAGCCATAAGTTAACATAGGTCAAATGTTAAGACAAAACTCTTTGAATTGAAGGTCAACACGAGATTTGATGGATGTCTAATAATATTTAGAAAATATTTAGAAAGATTCATATTTTTTCTATGATTAAAAAGAAAATCCTGTTAACTCACACCTATTCCATGTAGGTTAATACCAAATCATCTGGAGTGGACCAAATTATTAACTCAATCGGTACAAATGTCTAAATAATTAAAATCTTAAGTGTCCAAAACCTAACTTGTTTACAGAGTAATATTGTGTTTTTTAACCATCCAGAAGAATAAACTAAATCTTGTATACATTGAAAGATATCACATTTTTTTTAATGAAGCTATAATCTTTTTTAGACCATTTTTTTTAGTAATTGGAAGTGATTAGAGTCTAAAAATTACTTGGTTTCAATCTTGAGTTATTGCTTTCCAAGAATAACCACTTTAGTTAATAGTGAATGTATTCCAAACCATACTTAATTTTAGATAAAAGTGACTACAATCTAAATAATTGGATGTTTCTCTTGCACTCTGATGGGATCCTGACCGTCTCCACCCTGAGGACATGGTGAATCTAGCACATTAGAGAGGAAATAAAGGTGGTGTTGTGGGCAAGGGATATACGATTTAGAGGGAACAAGAATTTAAGGAAAAGATAGATAAAGCAAGTGGAGCCTGAATTGACAGGAAAATCCCAGAAGGAAGTAGATTTAGGATTGAAATTCAACGTAGATACTGACCTATAAATTTATCTTTACATTTCTAAATTTTCTGATCAAGTTCAAGAGTTATCAATAAAAGTCAGCTGCTATCAATATCATGGAACCCTTTTTTTTTGTCTCAGTACCCATCAAAGCCCCCCATTTGACAAAAGCAAGTTAATCAACATCAGTCCTATTATTTCTTTGCATTGGAAATTAAATAATTCACATATAATGTTCTTGGCTTCCGCCATGCACTTTTAATAACCATAATTACACAGATAGCACATACAGCAGGGCACTTTAATATCACGATAGAATCAGTCGGAGAATCTCTCCCGATAACTTGAACGACTTTTCTGTTTCTTCCAGACAGTGGTTCTTTTCTTCCCTAGTCCAACCCTGTTAAAAAAAGGAATATCAAAAAGGTAAATTCAACACCCTAACTAAGAAAATTTGGAAGCTATCACTGTATCCTTTGTTAATTACGTATAAGACCGCAAAAGAAATAAAACTCTTGATGATTCCTTAGACAATTGGAAAGAAATGTATGCAAATAATTAAGAAAGTCAAAAGAAACTTACCTCAGCAACTTTATTCAATTTGTCCCTCACGCTCTGCAACAACTGGGGAAGGTCACCGTCCCATTTGTAGAACTTTAATGCCTTGTTGTCAAGCAACTGTTCAGCAACCTGTAAGATTCAGGAAGAATTTACTGATTATAGAAAGGATAAGTATTAGCATTTATCTCGTCAGGTGCTAATGAAAGCAAAATATTTAGAACATAATGAAGCTTAAAGGATGTCCAGTGTTGTAAGAACAATTTACATTTGGAGATAAACAAATTTCATCCGAAACAAAAGTAGGAACCCCCAGATCTGTAAGAAGCTTGTTGTCATTTCTTTTTCTTTTATGCTTAGTAATAAATTAAAGAAGGCACAATTTTAATCCTTGCTGTTGCATTGCTTTCAGGTTCAGGTGCATTGCGTATTTTACTTTTGAAAAGCTTATCAAAATGCTTCAGAAAGAGCTTTGGGCTGAGATGTCTATAGTTCTTTTAAGTGATAGGCTAATTATACGTGTATCACTCTTTAGTATTATTGATTAATTAACATCGACATACTAATAAAATAGAACATATGGTACATATGTGCAACACTCCGCAAATATCTGTGGAAATAGCCACATGCCAGATCATATATACCTACTACTGGTATCAGACATAAAACATTGCAGACGTAAAGGAAAGATGAGATATTCCCATTTCATTAAAAACTTCATTATGTTCTCACATTCTCAGAGGAGAAATATAGAGTGGTAAACAATCCATAGGGAGAGGACAAATGAGAATATGTCCCCCCCAGATATGAATGCGCCAGCCCATAATAGCAATCAACCAAAGATGTTCTAAAAAAATGTAACAACATAATTGAACCTCTTTAAGCATGTATGTAATTGTTTACCTTTCTCCCGATCATTCGACCACCAGCTGAATGAGCAAAGTAGATGTTGTAAAAGTGGCAAATGAATGCTTGAGGATCCTTCATGGATAATTCCTTAAGATATTGTGCATAAGTAAGTCCTGGAGAAGAAGGTTCGGGAATAGTATAACCTTTCTCCTTGAACCACTCCAAATCTTCTTTCAAACTTTCAGACCTTTCCAATCCAGTCTTTCTGAATTCAGCATCTACACAAGAAAGAGAAGTGCATAGGGCATTTAACAATTGGATTTAAACATATATATATATATACCGACACCAAAATGTCAGTTGTAGATATGGTAGATGTAACAGAATAGTACAACCTATATGGATAACAACAAGAAACACACTGAATTAGAAAAATCATGCTCACAAAAATTGGTTACAATCAATTTATCTTCAGCATCATCAAGTCAAACATGAACGAATCAGGTGATGGATACTCTCGAATGACCTTGTTGTAACCCTGTCTATCCCACTTGTACCCACATATATGATCTCGCCTTCATTTTCAAAATACTATGGATGATCGTTTGCACACAATATTAGCAATAAAAAAATGGGAGACCTCATGAAGATCACAATATGAGCACATCAAAGCAAAAATTAAAAATCAAAGAAATGAAATAGCCAAAGACAGGAGCAGAGACTCAAACTCCTTAAGTAGCCTCTTGAATTAAACAACAAAAAGGGCTAAGATTCACCACAGCTCACTTGGTAACCAGTATGGCACTGGTTAAGGACTTGAAAGAAGAAACAAATTTCCTTTCAATTCCTTAAGAAGAGACACTAGTTAGCATTTGTCTATCAAATACAGCAATAACTATTAATTGCAACTCATGATTAGTTGGAGTTAAAACAAGCATCACATAAAACTCGTGCAACTCGTAGAACAGAAAACCACCACGCAAGACACACATCAGCCGCAAGAATGACCTCACCATCAACACCACAATCAACTGCACATCCAAAACAGACAAAAGAAAAAAAAAAACCCGAACCTCAAATATTACATTAAAAAGCACACGAAAAACAAAACCATTTAACTAAAATATCCAGGGAGAAAAGCGACACTCACAAGAAGGATGAGGAGCCTCTTGAACGATGTCTTCTAACGTGTCGTAAACGACCTTACTATCCACAAGAAACTTGAGGTAGCCTTCAACAGTTGGGTCCCACTTGGTAACGGCTTTCTCTTCGGGTTGTTTCACCTCCTTCTCCCCCTCCTTGGCCTGGTCCCTGGTGTGCAGCCTCATCGCCACGAACCTCATCTCCTCCACGAAGCCCTTAGACTCCCCCTTCTTCTTCGGCGTCTCAGCCGTCGCCGCCGACACAATAACCGCCTTTCTCGGCATGGTAGCCCGGACCCCTCGAACTCCCGCTGGTAACCCCGTTGGCAAGAAAAGGGAGCGTGATTGATGAGGCGGCGACACCAAACGGGGCTTAATATACAGCAATTGGGTCTGCGACACAGCTATTAGTGACGCCATTGGAGATAGTTGAGTGCACGAAAACGTTGATGTGAAGGCGCAGCAGAAGAACGGGCACGCTACTTGTGAGTGAGTGTGTGCGATACAGAGATTAAAATAAGAGGAATGGAGGATGCAGTAATCTTCAAGAAAAAGCGATGGATTCCGAATAATAATAAATATAATATAAAGAAAATAATAAAATAATGATGTTGATTGGTGCTTTCAAAGATCGAGCGAAGGACGATTGTCGGAGATGTCTGCAGATTTCTATGTATGTGCCTTCTTCTTAAGTTCGACCCGACCCATGTGTTCGACTCTCTACTTATCTCTTTTATTTTCTTTTAAAAACACAATTACTCTTTCCTTTTTCTTAATTATATTACTTTCAATTTCTCTCCTATCACTCATATATTAATATCTTCTTTTTTTTTTTTATAAAGCAAAACAATTACCACACAATAGAAATTAACAAGATTTTAACTCTTTAAAATAAGAAAACTTAATCAACAGAAACCCTTTTTAATTATATTAAATTTAACGTCACTCAATAAATTATATATATATATATATATATATATATATATTTATTGGTGGTCCGTTTGAAATGGACTCTAGTTGTCCAAAGAATTCAGTGAGATTTTTCATATAAACACGCAAAAACACGTATTTGTTTTAATTTTATGCTTAAATTGCTTTTCTTATCTCAATGTTTATTTATATATTTAACTTTTTTCAATGTGGATAAACAGTTTAATTTTGTTTTCATTATGTATAAATATAGGTCAAATTGGTTTGTTCTTTTTTAAAATTGATGTAATTTAGTTCTTTGATTTTTAAAATATAAGATATTAAAAGAACGTGAAGGAAAATAGTCCACCTGGATGTCGTGAAGATGATGAACATCATATAAAAAACCAATATTGGAAGGCTAAAATAGAATCACAGAATGTTTTTCATGTGAAGACTTCACAAAGAAACAAAGTCTGTTCATCTCCTTATAAAATATACTAAGGCGAAGCTTAGAAAGGGTGAATTATCTTTGCAAAACTCTTTTAAAAGATTAATCTTTTATTAAAAGCTCTTTTGGAAACAAGTCTATTTGAGAACCTGAAAGCAATTAATTTCGAAATCAAGATGAATTATGATAGCAATAGAAAATATAATACAATAAGAACAATATATAAAAGATAGAAAAAAGAACGAGAAAGATTACACAATATTTATATTTGTTCATATGAGCATTTAATTTTAATTATTCAATTTTAGAACCAAAATCTATGTTATTCTTATATGTGTTTATTACCAGCACTCAACACATTTGGAACATATACAAGATAAGAAACACGGTCATATCAACTCTTAAAACGCAGTTAAAAAAGATACATCCAACTCTTGGATCAAATCAATAAAATTACAATATATTACTCTTATGCTTTATTCGTTTGAGTAAATAGTTTTCTAAACTGATACTAAGAGACAATTATATTCGGATCAAATTAAATAAATTTACAACATTTTGTTAATTTTATGAAATAAAAATCTTAAAATTACCTTTCTTTTTGCCTACCACATTTATATAGATGACAATATGAGACAAACCTACAATAAAAAATAGGAAAGGAGCTAAGTATTTTAGTTTGTTGAGATCGTAGCTCATGCAGATCAGTAATGGGTTAACTTGCATAGTCAAATTATTTAAACTTCCAAAATCTAACAGCTCTAACAGAATGCATATCTTCTAAGTAACTTATTCATTCACGTTATTTTTATAATTCATCAAAAAATTTATGTATATTACAAAAATGTATAGCGACCAAAGCATAAATTTAGCTTTTCACTTTACAAAAACAAGAATGCTAAAACATGTTTACCATCCCAGTTATATATTGACATCATAAACAACATTCAATCTTCTCCAGTACCTCAACATATCACAATGAAAATACACAATATAGTGGAGACCAAACCTGAAACTAATCTGTTACCCTATAAAAGGATAAATCAAATTTATCCCTGAAACCTCAAGACCAAAGAGTAAATATTGCTGCAAGACCTGTAGCTTTTGCTTCGTAGTAAACATTTCTATTTATCAGCTACGTCGTCTAAAATTTAAGGTCCAGTCAGGGACTTTTGTCGATTTGCCATTCCAAGACGACTTTTAAATTGCATCCATGCTTGAGTACAATAATTCAGAAATAGAACTAAAATCTCAGCATATACACAACAAAAAGTGTGAAGTTGTTTTCTTACAGCTTGAACTGAATTCTGTGAAACTACTTAGAACTTACATAATTTACAGCGCCCAAGCAGTTAATTTAAGGGAAGCAAATTTTTAAAAACATTTAAATCAATTTTTGAATTGCAAGCTCTTTGGCAGAAGTTGCTAGTCTGCGGAATACTTTGAGATTGTGCCCTACTTTATCCTGAAAAGAAAGCATAATAGAATTGGCCAATTAGGCTAAACCAGATTTCAACTAAATAAATACATGACAATCTAGCAGATAAGGTCATATTCAAGAGGTTGACTTTAAACCATCGGAACATTAAGAAGAACTATACCCATACCTCACCCAGCAACTCAAGTCGCTCAAGGGTTGGGACTAACTTTCCACATAACAAAGAAACGTCTTGTTGTGCATCATACTTGGAACCATATGTAATTGCTTTTGTCAAGGTTGAATCAAGCGCAGCAGAACTGCCAGAAGATTACAGAGAAAGATTAGCCTAGAGAATCAAAGATCATTTTAGGGCTTTGTATAATTTTCCCTAAGGTTCGGCCATATAGCATTAAACTTCACGAACCCAATATTTTATCTAATTTCAGTTAACATTAACATTCTTATCACCTTTCCAACTTAAAGCCTCACCTCTCTTGAAGATGGATAAGGATGATATTTAGTATATGTTCGGAGAGTGGGAGCAACAAAATGATTAGCTGATCCCTATTAGCAACAACTCGACACATTTCTACCATTGCAATGTACCTCCTGTAAAAAAAATTAAAAACCATACAAAGAATGTAATGGATAAAGGAGAAAGATATTAGAAAATACGACAACATGAAGATGAACTCAAATTAAAGACCTCAGTCAAATGATTAACCTTTTCTGTATGTTATCTGAAGAAGAAACAGTGTCCTGCCGGACACACATATTGATGATTTCATCCACTTCCTGCCTTGACAGTTCATTTATGTCTCGGATCTGCAGATGTGCGAATAAGGTGTTCTTTATACATCCATATTAAAATGGCAATAATGTAGACAAAATCAATTGTAAAAGATAAAGAGATAAGTTTCTTTGCATTTTCACCTTATTCAGCAATACGGATTTCTCCTCAGCTGCCCTTTCAAGAGCAGTTGTAACAGAAGAAAGAAGGGAATTGAGCAAGCTCAATGTAGGTTGTTGAAGTTCAACAGAAGTAGGGTAACTGGACGAGGCATCTGAAGGCTGAGACAGAAAATTACAAGAGAAAACAAATTTCTGTTTAGAGGGAAAAAAATGCACATACACTAGCTGAATGGGGAAAATAGCTCAAGGTCAATAAAAACTGCCTGTTGAATGTATAATATACCTGCAATCTCAGGGATTTCTTTATGACTAGAAAATATAAGTACGAGCTCAGGCTGTAGCACAAATTAAACATCCGTAGTTCTGCATTCCTCTGATTCTGATAATTCAAGAAGGCAATATCACCATAAGATTAGGACTAATAATACTATGTATACATAATGTCAAATACTCTTTACCATAACATAACATTAATTAAGAAAACTACAAACTCACCTCAGGCGATACTCTTGATTGAGCAAAACTAGGAATCTTTGAATCATGTGAGAAAAGAGCACGCATCATACCAAAAAGCCCTTGAACAAAACCATACCCGTCACTCTCTTCGTAAGGCCAAACCTAATAAAAATAAAAAATGTAAAGTAACAAAAAGAAACGACCACAGCTCCGTAAGTAGAATTCTGAAGCCTCTTGCAGCTAGAACTAGGATGGTGTTACCATTGTGCATGGAATAAAAAATCACGCTTTACCTTATATATAAAAGGTAAAGTTCTCAAAGAATTCAATTAAACAGTAACTTAATATTGTTTGACTTCACCTACACTAAGTCTGGCAAGCTACCATCACACTTGCAGTAAAAGGTTCATAAATATACAGAAATAATTGAACAATACCTTGCTAAGAATACCAACAACTAAATTGATCTGCTCCATTCTTAGCTCATCTGCTTCAGCAATGTCTAAACGGAGAACCTGATCAAAGAGTGATTGATGTCCTTTGACAAAATCAATTACCTCACGAACAATTTTATTCTTCACCTATATCATACATCAATGCAACAAAAATTGGATTTCCATTTAAATAAAATTCATTCACAATTGAAATAATCATAAAACTTCCCTGGCAGGGAATGTGGTAACATGATTGATTCCCGAATTGGGTAGCAAGGAAAATTCATAGAAACCATCATATTAAAAATATTGTAAATGGAGCACAAAAGCCAACCTCCAAAAAGTCAGATGTATCAACCAAGGAAGTTAGTGAAAACACTAATCTCATGACTGGAGTTATAATCATCCGTTGTCTATCAACATCCACAGTCACATCTCTTCTATGTCTTGTCTCAACCCACCTTAAACTTCCCTGCAGATTATTTACTGTTCAGTAACCCGAATTAAAGCAGATGAGGCATTAACAAGAAAAATTTCCCTAACCTGTAAATTGATTGCCTTGCCAGATGAAAGATGCTCCAATATGCCCATGGAAAACAGTACCTGTGCTCCAGACTTCCCATACTTGTGGCTGATTCTTAGTAGTAAAGCAAGTTCAGCCTCAAAAGTGCATGCCCTCTGTAAAGAGTCCAGTGAAAGACTGCCGCCATCCTTGAACCAGACATAAATGAATCAGTATTATTTTTTCCAACGTGATTCAAGAGCACAAGACCTTGTATTAATCCACACAAAAATACCATACTTCTAATGTGGGACTCATTAGCACACCATGCAAATGTTTCATGCTCTTAGTTCCGTTTCTTTAACTTTGTTCTTTAGTTCCTTTTCTTTAACTTTGTTCTTTAGTTCCTTTTCTTTAACTTTGTTCTTTAGTTCCTCTTCTTTAACAATAATCTTTTAGTTCTCGAGGATTTTTCATCCTCTTGCATTTGACTATCTCCTCTTTCTTATAGAAAAAATCTTGGTGGACATTTGTTTCACTCTTGATTTTGCATTTTCGGAAGTATTATACCAAAGAATGTTATTCCCAAAGACACCCTTGTCCGTAGTAATTTTATAAAAAGAATATTTTTGAAAATTTAAAATAAAAATAAAAGGTAAAAGAATGTCATGGGAATAAGCAGTTCTTGTAGATGATAACTTTCATTCCCATAAGAATGAAACACTCGCTCCCTTGTCAAGGGAGCACAAACTGCTTAAAACCTGCGTTTAATTCTTTTGAAAAATATATATTCAAAACTTCCTATAATTTGTTTCTCATCTGTTCATTTGCCGCTAGGATGAGGAAATGGCTTCAAAGCATTACTGACCTAAGACTAGAACCTACTAGCATTAAGACAATTATGCAACTTCATTGAAATCGCAGTAATTAGGTGCTGAGAATGATGCTTTCTGCTATTATTAATAGCAGATTTGGCCTAGTAAGAACAGAATTTAGTTTTAGGGACAACAAACTCAACACCAGCATATCAAAAAAGAATTTTCACCAGAGTCTTTCTGGTTCTTTGGAAACAGGGTAACATGCATTCCATTATTGATGAATTCAAAATTATCAAGGCCCTTTTGTTCTTTTGCAGGCCAAGGAAATCACATATGATTATTCAGGTGGATTGGAGGATGGATCGAATGTGATACGGATGGGGCATACTCAAATCAAGGGCATAGATCAGTTTGCTGTAAAATCTTAGGGAATTCAAAATCTGAAATTTCAGCCTTTGAAACAGTTTATGGAAATTCTACAAAAAGGATGGAGAACTCTTTGGATTGCGACTCATTACTTGCTTAATGTGAAACATTGGGCCTTGGAAGCTAACAAATGGCTTAACGTTTGAGTCCATGACGAGTGTACACTTCAAAATTTCCCATACTTTCAGGGAGAGAAATAGGTGTGGTGATGGTTTGGCAACTTACGGATTGAGATCTGTTTTAGTGTACCTACTTATTGTTTCTGACTTTTGTTGGGATAGGCGTGATTTAAAAAGAGATCTTCAAGATGAGAATAATTGTTCTTATCCTCAGATTCCTGGGAAATAGGGATGACATGAAACAAACAGTTCCATTGTTTATAAAAACAATTGCCAAACATGCCAGCATTCAACAGTGGCCCATGTTACATTAGATACATTTTAAATATGAAATTTCTCTAAAACCTAAATACAATATCAATGAGCAAAAATGACAGCATACATTGTAATAACAAGTTACCAAGCACACCAATGATAACTACAGGACACATACAATGAATTGCTACACCAAGTAGGATAAAGATAAAAAGATATCCTATTTATTATTGAAATTTCAAATCAGAAATTTTCCCTCAATACAAAATGGGTGAAACCACTTAAATAAAACAAAAGTATAACGATATTACAAAAACCAAAATAACCATTAAAAGAATTATGTGTTAGTTCCCTTGTGAAAAAAAAATAAACAGTCTACAACTGCAGAATCAAAAACTGCCAAGTTTCAAAATAGATGCAACAGATTATGGTGGAAAGAACAAGCACCTGATTGCAAACATTGCTTATGGCTGTAAAGCAAGACCTTAAAAATCCCCTGCTCTGAAGTTGGCTCAAAAAATAGCGCTCGTGATCTATACTAATCAGTGCATCAAGAACATAAAGTGATATTGTCTTTCCAGGCTCACTACCATGCGTAGCATCTTTTATGACCTACAATTTTAAATTAACTTAAGCTGTAAATAATTGACATAAGAATAATGAATAGAAACAGACTCTGAAAAAGTAATGCTAAACAGACCAATGATAGCACATGGAAGCAAGAAGCCTATAACACAATATCCTGTTGGGGAAACATATTTTAGCAGTCTAATGTGAGGATGGAATCTCAACTAAAACTAAAACTGACAGTTTCACTAAAGATAATAAAAACACATACCTCTCATTATGTTGAAATGCACCCTTGTTTTATTTTATTTTAAAAAAAATTATAGTTTTCAATAGACATTTTCAAAGAAAAAATGTATATATCAGAGTCAAAAGTAGATTCAATAAAAGTGTATTATATCTCGTTGAATACATTGTACAATTTCTTAAAAAGTGGACTTTAAGTTTAACTCAACCTCACAAAATCAGTTTAACAAGGTGAGACATCCTATAATTTGACCATATCTGTAGTCGATGTTAGATCTTCAACGTACTCCCTTACACCAAGAGCAGGACATTTCAAGCGTGATGTACGCAAAGCCATACACCAAGAGCAGGACATTTCAAGCGTGATGTACGCAAAGCCATGCAAGGCTACTACAATAGGAAATTACCAACATGGGCTATAGGCTATAACACATCCAATTTCATTTAAAAATTAATTGGATTAAGTGAAGTTGCCTAACAGATGTATAAGCCGCATTTTAAGAATAGAAGGTGATGTGGGACTTCCCAACATAATCTCCTACAAGCATAAGCCCGATCCTTTCTCTATCCCATGCTAAAATTGGACATGTGTCCTGAATAATAATGTATATAGAAAGAAAAGCTTAGTAAGAGTAGCAAATAACCAAATTCAAAATGCTCTGAGCTTCTTTCCTCAAAGTTGAAAAGTTTGCATGAGCCAGTTCTGCTTGTTCATTGTCAATCTGGAAAAAATAAAGTAAAAGTTGCAATGAAGTTTTTTAATCTGCCATCAAATTATAGTATTGCTTTTGTAAACAATTCAAGAAATTATACCTTTGGGAGATCAATATATTCATTGTCTTGTTCATTGAGTAGCAAGAATTGAAGAACTGTTGATGGAACATCAGGATCAACCACATTTTGACAATACTGGAAATAGCTAAGAAGGAAAGCATATTGACTGTACAAAACATGCAAGTGTAAGTTTGCAAATAAAAATCGTGTACAGCCACACCACCAGAATTCGTTACTGAACATGAAACATACCGTCTCCTAAGAGCTTCAGAAGATTCATTTCTAAGAATTGCCATAATAAGCTTAAACAATATAGTAAGACAAGCACCTTTGGATAATTGCTTCACCACAATGAGATCAAGGCAGGTAATATTATCAGAACTAAGACTACCAGGGAACAAAAATCTTTCGTCTCGCAGCTTAGCCATGCATGTCAATGCTACCTGAGAAATTTCACATTATATAAATATAAATCAGTCTGTCTGAAAAGATACAAATAACAACAGAATGACTCAAATTGTTGAAGAACACATCAACATTTCCAGATGATAAAATCACATATTGCAATATTTACCTGGGACAGTATGAATGCCATCTTTAATGAACAATCCTGAGAAGCAGAAGCACTAAGAGACGCGTCAAGGACCCTGCCAATACAATTTAGCAGTTACATAAATTGCACAAACAATGAGAAAATCAAGAATGACAAGTTAAAGCTTTTGCTTTTTCACTAATGAAGTGTAGCAACTCACTGGAAAAGAATTTCAGTTCGATCTTCGATCATTATTAATCTTCTAGAAGCAGACACCTTAACAAAATAGCACAATGTTAGAGAATGTACATAATAAGACAAAGACACTACCTAGGTTGGAAATGTGAATCAGGTTTCCCACTGTTTGAAAACAATGTATAGCTATAGATTAACTCATTAAAAATTCAATGGGGAAACATTTTCCTTCATTTCCTCGGCATTTTCTAATTTGTATTAGACAGGTCTCATGCTCCCCCTCCACTGCCTTACTTTGTCATTGTTCTTCACAGTCCTTCACAATGCACACCACCACACCTCCTACCCGCCCCATGAGGGAGAAAAGAAAAAACAAAGACAGAGGAAAGCGGATCGATGTTTTTTTATTGGTTTCACAATAGCTTTCATGTAGGGGGAGGAAAATTTGAAGTGGGTACAGAGTGGTAAAAATGCTAATTCACTTGGGCTCAATGTGATCCAGTTGAAGGTGAGTATGGCATGGATTGCTGTTGTTTAAAACAGTGGAAGTATTTGCAGGCAGGAGCAAGATGTGTTTTATGAAGGATGCAAAAGAAGAAAGAACTTTAGGCCACAGTTTGAGGATGTGGAAGAGGGAAAGAAGAGCACTGAGAAAGAAGGAAGCATGGGCAAATTGGGGCAAAAATGGAGAAATCGAAATAGAAAGATCTGCACCTCAACAATTTGAGACCAGGCTGTCAACATATGAAGTTGTGCAGCTTGTTCCTCAAGATTTTTATTGTATTTCCAACCCCATCTAAGCAACTGTTGAATTGTCTCACGAACATTATTTAGCTCAACTTCATTTCCAATGTTGCTTGCCTGGGAGTAAGCTGAATTGTATTTCTGCAACAAGAAAATAGATTAAATTTCATAAACAATATTAAAGAAAAACTACAATTCAAGGAATAAAGATCAAAGATAATATTTTCAATAACAAATTATTAATATTTAATAATTGGACAATAGACCAACCTGCCAAAGTTTGTCGTGGAAAGCGGCCAGGTCAATTAGCCGATCACCTCTCTCAGAATAATAGTACACACCATCCTTTCCAGAATTTCCAAGTATGTCTTCCGCCTAAAATAATGTTCACCCAAAGGCAGGCAAGAACGAGATGAAAATGTAAAATATCATCTCGATTTTTTCCATACATAAAATATAGATTTACTATGTTTTAAGGACTAGTATCTCACCGACAAGTCATATTTCATTCCACCCACAATCTCTGAGAGCTGAGAAGTGGAATCTGGACATCTAAACTGGATGATTTCAAGCAATTCAAATACCTGAATTTCAAAGAGAATTTAGAAGTAAAGCATAAGATGGGAGTTTAAAATGAAGAATAGTATAATTTACAAAGAATTTCTTATTACGTGGGAACTATCTCCAAGGTTTAAAATGTATAATGCACAATATGTGCACAGACTCTTAGTAGACTGCGTCAGAATTATCTCCAAGGTTAGGACTAAATTAGAGCAACTGATAGGGGAATAAAAGTATATGTGAGGAAAAATAAAGGCTGGAAGGAGAGAGTGTCTGTTAAAAATTAGGAGGGAGTTTCTGTTAGAAGTTAGTTAAGAGGGAAAGGGGAGTATAAATAAGGAGTTGGTTGAAAAGGGGGGGATTATGAAATTAGTATTTTGTTGTTAACTGGAACATTAGTCCAGCGAAGGGAGATCGAGCTTCCTTAGGGGGTGATTACTATACAATTGTATTCTTGGTTCATTGAATAAGAGAAGTATATTCAGAGAAGTGCATTCTGTTCGGTGTGATTTATTTGCTTTCTTGACTTCTTGATTTAAGAAGTCCAACAATATTGGTCTGACCTGCCGGATCCAGATTGAAGGAGAGACAAGATGGAGAACAGGGTGAGTGCATTGGAGGGAAGATTCGATGCCATGGAAGCGGCGTTGGAGGAAATTCGAGCGGAGATGAGGGGAATGGCTCGAAACGTGAATCGCGACCGTGGGAGAAGAGCGAACCAAGGGAGGACTTCTGAAGGGAGTCATTCGGTTAATGGAGGTCGGGATACGGAGGAGGATGAATCATATGAAGAATCTGAGGAAGAACGTGACGTTCAAAAGAGTTGGATGAAGAGAGTGGAATTACCCACTTTCGAAGGGATCGATCCGATGAGATGGATCGCTAGGGCGGAGAAATTCTTCGAATTACAAAATGTGACGGAAAGGGAGAAGATGAAGCTGGAGTACATTTGTATGGAAGGGGGAGCGAATTATTGGTTCCGCTTTTGGCGGAAGAAGGTGAAGAATCCTACCTGGGCGACATTGACGCAGGCGATGGTCAGGAGGTTTGGAGGTAGACACCGGGGAACGATCTTTGAAAAATTGGCGGCGGTGCGACAGAGAGGAGCGATGGAGGAATATGTACAGGAATTCGAGGTCCTCGTGGCTTAGGCGGCGAGCGTGACGCGCAACACAATTTCATTTCGACACGCTTGGTTGAAGAGCTAAGGTTAGAGAAAGAGAAGCGAACACCGTATCGGGTATGTTTGGGTGGTGGCCAGAGAAAGGAGACACAAGGATGTTGCATGGGGTTGTCCTTGACACTGGAGGGAGTGGAGATCAGAGAGAACTTTTATCTTTTTGAGTTGGGAGGAGTGGATGTAGTGTTGGGAGTTGAGTGGCTGGCGAAATTGGGGGAGATTAGGGTGGACTGGAAGAAGATGACGTTGAAGTATGGGCCGACGGAGGCTGAGGTAGTGATAAGGGAGGACAACACATTAATGAGGAAAATGATTACCCCTGAAGTGTTGCAGAAGGAAACCGAGATTGAGACACTGGCGGTGGTGTGGGGTTTGAGTAAATCTGAAATAGCAAAGGAAAATTTAATAGCAGAGGATTTAACGCCCATGCAGGAGGAGAATCTGGATAAGATTTTAGGGGAGTTTGAGAAGGTGTTTGAGGTGCCACAAGGACTTCCTCCTGTCAGAANTAAATTGCACAAACAATGAGAAAATCAAGAATGACAAGTTAAAGCTTTTGCTTTTTCACTAATGAAGTGTAGCAACTCACTGGAAAAGAATTTCAGTTCGATCTTCGATCATTATTAATCTTCTAGAAGCAGACACCTTAACAAAATAGCACAATGTTAGAGAATGTACATAATAAGACAAAGACACTACCTAGGTTGGAAATGTGAATCAGGTTTCCCACTGTTTGAAAACAATGTATAGCTATAGATTAACTCATTAAAAATTCAATGGGGAAACATTTTCCTTCATTTCCTCGGCATTTTCTAATTTGTATTAGACAGGTCTCATGCTCCCCCTCCACTGCCTTACTTTGTCATTGTTCTTCACAGTCCTTCACAATGCACACCACCACACCTCCTACCCGCCCCATGAGGGAGAAAAGAAAAAACAAAGACAGAGGAAAGCGGATCGATGTTTTTTTATTGGTTTCACAATAGCTTTCATGTAGGGGGAGGAAAATTTGAAGTGGGTACAGAGTGGTAAAAATGCTAATTCACTTGGGCTCAATGTGATCCAGTTGAAGGTGAGTATGGCATGGATTGCTGTTGTTTAAAACAGTGGAAGTATTTGCAGGCAGGAGCAAGATGTGTTTTATGAAGGATGCAAAAGAAGAAAGAACTTTAGGCCACAGTTTGAGGATGTGGAAGAGGGAAAGAAGAGCACTGAGAAAGAAGGAAGCATGGGCAAATTGGGGCAAAAATGGAGAAATCGAAATAGAAAGATCTGCACCTCAACAATTTGAGACCAGGCTGTCAACATATGAAGTTGTGCAGCTTGTTCCTCAAGATTTTTATTGTATTTCCAACCCCATCTAAGCAACTGTTGAATTGTCTCACGAACATTATTTAGCTCAACTTCATTTCCAATGTTGCTTGCCTGGGAGTAAGCTGAATTGTATTTCTGCAACAAGAAAATAGATTAAATTTCATAAACAATATTAAAGAAAAACTACAATTCAAGGAATAAAGATCAAAGATAATATTTTCAATAACAAATTATTAATATTTAATAATTGGACAATAGACCAACCTGCCAAAGTTTGTCGTGGAAAGCGGCCAGGTCAATTAGCCGATCACCTCTCTCAGAATAATAGTACACACCATCCTTTCCAGAATTTCCAAGTATGTCTTCCGCCTAAAATAATGTTCACCCAAAGGCAGGCAAGAACGAGATGAAAATGTAAAATATCATCTCGATTTTTTCCATACATAAAATATAGATTTACTATGTTTTAAGGACTAGTATCTCACCGACAAGTCATATTTCATTCCACCCACAATCTCTGAGAGCTGAGAAGTGGAATCTGGACATCTAAACTGGATGATTTCAAGCAATTCAAATACCTGAATTTCAAAGAGAATTTAGAAGTAAAGCATAAGATGGGAGTTTAAAATGAAGAATAGTATAATTTACAAAGAATTTCTTATTACGTGGGAACTATCTCCAAGGTTTAAAATGTATAATGCACAATATGTGCACAGACTCTTAGTAGACTGCGTCAGAATTATCTACAAGGTTAGGACTAAATTAGAGCAACTGATAGGGGAATAAAAGTATATGTGAGGAAAAATAAAGGCGGGAAGGAGAGAGTGTCTGTTAAAAATTAGGAGGGAGTTTCTGTTAGAAGTTAGTTAAGAGGGAAAGGGGAGTATAAATAAGGAGTTGGTTGAAAAGGGGGGGATTATGAAATTAGTATTTTGTTGTTAACTGGAACATTAGTCCAGTGGAGGGAGATAGGGCTTCCTTAGGGGGTGATTACTATACAATTGTATTCTTGGTTTATTGAATAAGAGAAGTATATTCAGAGAAGTGCATTCTGTTCGGTGTGATTTATTTGCTTTCTTGACTTCTTGATTTAAGAAGTCCAACAGCAACTTCCTAAATACTATGCACGAAAGTGAGATGTCTGGTCAATTTGATTTGGGACAACGAAGAGTGATCAAAAAGTGATTGGGGTCATTATAAAGATATGTCAATTAGAAACGGCAGCATGCATTCACACAAAAGTTTCTATCAGTTAACAATCTTTCCACCATTAGTTTTTCACCCTAGTAACTATCCAATTATAGATGTCTTCTTGTAAAACCTAAATATAAGTTATGCAACCACCCTTCCCTTCCACAACATTTTTCATGGCACTCAGCTATATGTTACTCTAATTGTCAATACTATCTCATTAATATTGTAAAAAATAAAAGACCTTTTCGTTATAGACCCATCGATAAATCAGAATTTACTTCTTTTACCAGACTCCTTCCGTAAATGTTCTCCTCTCTCTAAGTATTCATAATCATAAAATCATGTCTTTTTTAAATCAATAGTATCCTTCCTAATTTAGAATACTTTGAGCAAACCCTCAAAATCTTCCCAAAGCATGCCTTTCAAAAGTGGTTTTTATCCTACTTGTGATGCTTATGTACTGATGAATATTGATAATATCCCTGCACTAATTAACTTTCAAGACACAATTTTGCCCTTGATCATTTTACAATCACCACCCTCTACTTTCAATCCGCATCCACAATAACACTCACGTTGTTCTGTCATCCATCTTTCCCTGTGTACCAAAGTTTAGATCCTAAAGTGTCGAGGACATTAGTTTTCTCTCCAACTCATTTACAACTTTGTCCCCAATCCATTTTAAATACAAAGTACTCCCTTTTCAATCCTTAACCATGATAATAGTCATGCATTCTTTGATGTAACTTTTCCTCTAACCCAAAGTATAAATAGAGTCAAGCATATTAGTTTTTTCTCCAACCCAATTTAGTTTGGCAAAGACAAGTGATGTTAATCCCCCTCTGAATCATCATGTTCACCACCTCTAATGGCTTAACCATAAAAGAACCAGAATTCCATGTATCAAACTTACTCAAGAACATTTGATCTAGCTTATTTACCAAAACTATCTGATAGGTTTAGTGGCAAAGTGTGTGTTAGGAGAAATAAGGGTAACATGCAGTTATAACTGCCTGGGGGTTGGTGTAAACAGACTACTATATATAGTCTGTATGGGGGATTGTTTTTGAAAAGTTTTGTGAGTGTTAGTAAAGGAGAGACAGGTCCTCTCGAAAGACCTGGGCTAGTGATGCAGAGTGTGTTCGTGTTCTTGTTTCTTAGACAGACCAAGCTGTCTGGTTTTCCTAAGAGAACATCCATGAACCTGTCTTGGAGTTCTTACATTTCTAATAAAAGTCTGGATACCAAGCTCATTTAACACTACATTCAAGCATTGGCTTAATGGATCTAGCTTATTTAACAAGTGTTATTTCCATGTAACAACCTACCATGTTCATACATATTATTTGTCCCAAATGATCGATGATTGGGTTGTAGATGAATTTTACATTCGTTATCCAGAATATAATATGACCCTCCCTATTTTCTATATCATTAAATTCATCCATATCGCCATGATGACCCTTTAACTATCACTAGGCCAAGATGTTTCAATTATCCTTTGTTCTGTCCTGCTCATTCACCATTTAACTCTCATAATTCTTCTCTCAAGTTATGCCATAATTGACAACATGATTCCCTAAATCCACCGACAACAAGAAAAATAAGCATATGAGCCTATCGCCCATAACTCAAGAACCCAACAATAAAGTTCACAGATATGTTAGCCCATAATATCAAGGGAAATGTAATAAATAATAAAGAATCCAAGATATGCATGTGATGTGATATGTTAGCCCATAATATCAAGGGAACAATGAAGCATGTAAATATCAGTACCTTACTCTTGCTGACAGTTCCTAGAGCAGCATTTTGAGAAGTATCATGACGCAAAAATGGATACATGGTCTGGCCCCCACCAACGTCGTTGACACCATGTGAAAAAAGATAAGAGAGGATTGTCTGACATGCTTCTCTATGATTGGAGCTACTAACATCACCAGCGTGTAGTTCAACAGCTAAGAGTTTCAAGAGCCATGCTCTCTGGGAAAGCAATGAAACAAAACACCTATATCAAACCCAACAGTATAGGCGAACTGTATAGTTTGACATACTTCATTTCTATTCCTTCCCAGAAATTAATATCATTCAGGCAAAAATATTAAATAGACATCAGAAATGTCAATATGAAACAACACATGGATAACATGTTCAATGAAGATGCATCGGATTTCATTTTTATGTGCTTCTACAGTTGTGAAGATTTGAAAAAAAAAATTAAAACAATAACAATTGGAAAGATGTTTTCTTGTTATTGTCAAATCAAAGTATCGAACTAAAGGATTATATGCCACCATGCTGATTAGGAGTCAAGTGGTTTCAGGTTTTGATGGAATTAATCTTCGTAGACTCAGTATTAACTATTGAACACGGTGTGCTAAGTTGATTTTTTTTTTGTAAGTCAAACATGTCATTCAAAGTTGAGTAAATAAAAGTGTTATTTTCTTAAAAACATCTAATGTCATGCATTAATACATCTTGATTAAGCCTTAAAGATCAACATAAAGTAATATTGGGTTCACTTGTAATTACTGGAATCCATGAAAAATGAGAATAATTCAAAGTCTTAATTCAATAGATTGAAAGTGCTTATCAACGCATGATAATAACAAAGAATCCAAAAGGTGTGTCCAGCAGATATAGTTCTATTCACATGTATTTGTGCTGATCTAGTTTCGAAAAACTCACTTGTTATTCCCACCACACAACAGCCACTTTTGTTTGGAACACCTTGTTTCAAACATTTTACAAAAATTGGCAGCATCCTACAAGTTTTAAATGAATTCTAAATTTACAGATGACTTGAAGGAGAAAGTACAATGAAAAACCTGATGAAGTGAACTGTTACGAAGCGACTGATTATTATTCCTTTTAGGAAGCGGAGCTACCCCAATTGTATCAAGGTGCTGCATTTTAGCAAGGAATTTTGAGCAATAATCATAAAAAACTAGAAGGAAAAAAGGTAATCAAATAAATTAAACAGAATGTCAACCTTAACAAAGAATTGGTACTTTTTATTTGACAACAGATCCATTGTTGGTACACATGTTACTGGATCTACACACAATTCATAAAGGAGCTGCATCAATCAAAAAGTCAGAATCCTTTCAAAAAAAATCACAAATAACTGGGGAAGATGTAAAAATTCCAACTCTCTTCCGTATATTAGATGTAGTGTGCATTAGATAAACAACATCTGACCTGAAAACAAAACTCGTGAAGTAATGCATTAACATCAGGCTTCAAAAGCTCCTCCAGAATATCAAGAATAACCTTCAAGCAACTGCAAATAACATTAGAAGGTAAAAGTTACAATCTCCAGAATCAAATAATTAAGCACCATGAAATAATAGACAAAAACCTGTAATAAAATTTAGGCTGTAAAACTGTTCGTTCAATTGGAGTATCTAGATCAAATTTAAGTAGCAAATGAGTGATATTTGGAGCTGGCCGACTGATATTGTCAATTAGAAGCTGAAACATAGAAGGCAAATGCAAACAAAAACCATTTTAGGAAGATTATACACTAGGAAAGAGGAAACAAAACAAAAAGTTGATAGTAATGAGGGCCAACTTGCATAATAAGAATGCCTGGATCATCACTGCTATTTTCAAGATTTTGAAACTCTTCTGACCGTAACTCAAGGCACGCTGCATAATCTTCTATCAAGCTGTTTGAAGCATTGCATTTTAGCAATAGTTGAACAAGCCCAACCATACGGGAGCTGTCACTCAAAAAATCAAAATACAGATTAAGTAATGATATTCAGAACAGCAGAAGAACACAAAAAATTACAAATTCAAAATAAGAAAATGGAAAGGTATCTAAATGCCTTAAAATACTCATGATTTTGATGGAGGATTGCTGAACTTTTGGCTGAAAATCATATCTGACATACTCCAACAGGGCCACTATTTGATTATGATCATGGGAGAGTATAATGTCCAATGGCTGCATATAGATTATCAATAAAAGACATTAATAAGTAGCTACACAATTCTAAAAAATAAGATATATTTAAACTAAGGAGCTACATACATAACACACCAGTACAAAAGATATTGATTTACTTTTAAACACAGTAAACGGTTAGTATCACTTCAAAATAACAGCATCCAATAGGACCAATATCCCAACCAAACCCTGGAAATCGATTGACACCCTGAATGTTAATAATTCAATATACAAATACAAAATCATGTATAGATAGTGAACCAGATCACCTTGACAATGCCTCCACACACTAATCAGTAATTTCTTTAGAAACTCAAGCAAGAGAAGATGATGAAACATGCAACTTTAGATCTATCTATCAATACATACATACAACTCCCGAAAGAGTGTGTGTGTGGGAAGCATCTTGTTGAGAAGCTGTTTCTATAGCACGTATCTGAGTAAACCAGCTATCGCCAGTGTTATAATTGAGGTGTTACGAGTCCTACGGATGTTCCTTCCACTTTCTATCACAACTTTCTTACAACTAATAATCTCTGGCACCATGGATCTTTCAGTGTGTCTCATTTGTTCTTATCCATAGTAAAAACAGGAAAAAACTTGATCCTAGAGCTTTAAAATTGATGTGTACGCACACACCCGTGAAAACAATTTGATGTGTACTGTATAGAAAATTGAGTTACCTGGTATAGAGGAAGCCAATAATCAGAAAGAAGTAAATCCTTATCAAAGACAAGGATTATAATTTCAAGGGAAAGCTGCACTGCATTCTCTAAAAGCTTCCCATATAATTGACTGCTGCGTTCAGCAATAATAGAATTCACCCCTGGAAGAAGAATACTCATTATGTTCCGAAAGGCAGTTTTTCCACTCATGAAATCCTGAAACATATCAACTGGTAAAATTAAAGCTATGAAATTCCCAACAGCACAATAATTTTCATAATGCTACATTTGCTGAATATTTCATAATGAAAGCTATAAAACTCCCAACAGCCAGTAAATTTGCTCGGTTGATAGTTGCTCGTTAATCATAACTACACAAGTACTGATATATCAATCTCAAAGTTATGAGACTCGTTATAACATATCATACAGCTAACAAATCCAAAATCCAGGATGATAATCATCAGTGTTGAGATATTAATCAGTCAATTTTCAGTTTTAATTTTGTATTCCTTATTTCTTGCCCTTTTAGTAATCTTAGATAGCCAATATGTATGTTAAGTGTTGTATTAGATAGCTTTAACTGCTCTAAATTTGTTAGTATAACAGCACTGAGAAAAATGCCTTTCAGTTAGTTAGATAGTTGGTTAGATATCTCACACAATATAATGGGTATTTTCCATATCACTTATAACTCACTTCTTAACATGGTATCAGAGCCAGATTCGAACCTATCCTAGTTATGTTTGTTGGGCATATTGTTCCACCTGCTATCGAACCACCCATTGATGTTTAGTCTCTCGTTCGAGATGAATATACCTCGACGTGAAGAAGTGTGTTGGAAGTCTCACATAGTATATAAGTGGGTGCAAATCTCACCTTACAAGCCGGTTTTGTGGGGTTGAGTTAGGCTTAAAGTCCACTTCTTAACAATAACATGAATTTAAAATAATTTCATCAATCTATTTTCTCTCATTTTTCCTATTTCTATTGGACAGATCATGCAATGCAATATACAATATTCTAATACATACATTGGAATAAAAAAACTAAAGCCATTGCCCATATGTTTAATACACCATATCAAGACAACGACGAGCACATACTTTGAGCAACTCTAGGACTGGGAGCTGCGTCTGAAGTGGTGATGATTCCTTAGTTGCTGTAAGTCGCGACTGATCAACTACACCCTCATAGTCCTCATCCTTGATGCCATACATGCTCAAAACCCTGTCAATTTGTGTTCATCGAATAACACTCTAAGTCTATAATCAACGGTATATACCATAGCTTGTTCATAGTTTTGCATTATAGAGATCAGTTTCAATCAAATTAAAGACAGAAAAGTTATGTTGGTGCCTCAATACAACTCAAATAACTGTGAATAACAAAAACCAATCTATCCAACAATCAATACAACCTATATCAAATAAACAACGGAGATATATTCTAATTATTTCTAGAAACACGAAAACAGAATCACTCACATGTGAAAATGTTTAAGGCAGGCACCAACCAACTGCCACTTTTCGCAAGGATCCGCATAGGCTCTTTGAGGAAATGGCCCAAAAACATGATCATAGATGAACCTAAAGATTCCAATAAATCTGAAAAACGAAAAGTTTTTACACATTAAGAGCCCAAGCAAGAAAACAACATGAATATAAAATTCACTCAGATTTGAAATATACAGTGTACAGTACCTTCGCCCTCTGTCGGACAAATCACTTTCTTCTGCAATAAGAGCATTTATCAAATTAAGGAAAGATATTGTTGAAGGATATTGTTCTCTTCTTGCTTCAATTTCATTCAATTCAAATCGCATGTCATAAACCTGTCATATATTACAAGTTCATTTGTTCATCAGAGAAAGAGAAAGTAAATGATTGTGATGACAAAAAACAGAAGAAATGTAAGGGGAAATGGAAGAAACATATGAATAAAATGATAGCGATAACAAGTCAGATAATTTAAAAGAAAAGGATGAGCCCTAGTATATCAATTAATTTTTTAATATATTTTGTGGTTAGTTTACAGAACTACAGTTCAAACAAAAAGGCAAAGCAAAACAGTAAAAGAACAAGAGTCCAAAAAAATTCTGGCTTTTCAATATACCAATAAACCTCAAGACCCACTAGGTCATTCCAGTTAATAAATATAAGAAAAACCATTCCTTGTTTTACAATACTTTTTAGAGGTACTTAGCATATAAACCCTTATCATTTTAAACTTTGACACTTCTTTGGAAAAGTTTATTTCCTATGAAACAAACTGTTCTCTTTCTCGAGCTCTTTTGATAGAAACTTGGTATCTTTGCCATAAAGAATTTAGAAGAACTCTCAAATGTGCAGCTAGGAAGAACGAACTATAGACCTGGGTACACTAGGGTTACCCTAGGAATAACAACATAGATTTTTTAAAGAGATATAACTTCATCGTTTCGTGTCCTTCAAATGATAGCCTTACCCATGAATAGGGAATCCACTCAGTGAAATCAACGGCTGGCTCATTTAGGGAAACTAACTACAAAGTGCCGAAAAAAGGGTTATGCAAAATACCTCTCATGCATAATAGTCTTTAGTCCAGACCTAATCACAAAAACAAGGTCAACATGCCACCTCTAGTATCAACGCATGTAGCCTACCTGCCTAGCTCTACCAGACCTCACGAGCCCATTTTGAAGGATTGTAACATCCCATTTGGCTCCGATTTGTGTTTCTTGATTCTTTTGCCAAACATGTCTTTGTTTTGTGTTATTTATCGATGCTTGAAACAAAAGACTATAAGAAGGAACTTGATCGTCTAAGAACAATGATGAAATCGATGAATAAGTCATCTAGATCATATACCTGGTACATGAAAGATAAGAGTAAATTCAATAAGGTTGGTCGTATGCCTTAGGGTACTCGGATTATTGATTCAAGGACAACTAATCACATGACCTCATTTCCTATACTCTTTGATTTGTACGTCAAAATGACTAGAGAAATCATTGCAGTTGCAAATGGACATAGTGTATCCATGTGCAAATATGGAAATATATCTATTAAATTAAAGGATTTGTCTATGTCCAAAAACTGCCAACAGCCTTATCTTTGTAGAAAAACCTGCAAAAGATTTGAAGTGTTCAATAACTTTTCCTCTTTCTTATGTCTATTTCAATCAAGACCTCGGCAGGAGGAAGATTAATGTATTTGCTAAGGAGCATAGTAGGTTATATAAGTTGGAGTCTACGGTCCAAAACAAAACAAAAGGTCATAAGTCAACCAGCAACATTAGAAACATGGACAAATTCCCTAATATGGCTTCATCATATAAGATTTGGACATCCCTCGTTCAACCTTATGAAATCCATGTTACCTACTTACCATAGAGTTTGTTGAGTCTTTCCAATGTAATATTTGCTAATTGCCAAAGCATCACCATGCATCCAACCCCATTTACCTTAATTACTATGATGCTTGAGGACCTGGCAGGAACATAATGGAACTACACCCACCAGTGCCCAAGGACCCCAATTTTCTCAGAAATGAAAAATTATCCATCACTCAATTTCCCTAATTATTATTACAGACGATCTGCCTTAATATTTCTATATCTAACACCAACAGAGTATCAAATATCTACAACTAACTTACTAACATAAGAACTAACAGATATCAACAGTCTTAAATATCTATAAGGATGCCAGCAAAAAAAATGTAACATCCAAATATCTTAAAATTGTAAGAATACAGAATAGAACAAGAACATTTTTATCCTAACTAACATTTCAAACAAACCCATAGTTTCTAGAACAGTTGGTTCTCGTAGTTTTGAAGGATAAAAATTCTAAGATGGTGATTAAAGATTACTTCTTCATCAATCAGATATACCAACCTGACTACCCATAGATTGTGGACTATTCTGGATATCAGGCCCAACAACTACTGGCAGATCATATTGCTCAAGGTAGGTCCAGATGCTGTCTTTCAGTATTGGAGAAACCTGAATAAAAGCGGTTATTGCATTCCTCAGAGCACCCTACATCAAAAAGTATTGTCTCGTTAGAAAATAAACCGTTCAAACATTTCCATTAGAAGTACAATCTTTAAACAAAATCAAGAACCTAAATATCTTTTTACTTTCTTGTAAGAACATCATGATACAGCTATTTACCTTAAGATAAGGAGGCACATTTTCGTAACTAAGAAGCTTAAATAGTGGTTCAATATCAGGAAACCAGGTCCTCCTTTCTGTTGGATTCCCGTTTTCTACAACCTGTATATACAACAAATGCATAGTAAATATTGTTGTTCCTCTCAATTGAATAAAAACTACAAAGGGAAAGTCACATGCAACAATGAAATGTTAGACACGCCACATAAAATAAGTTGAACCAAGGACCTTTTATTGAATATTTTTCCCTTCTTACTAGACTAGAGTTTACAGAGGAGCACACTTATATACTGTGCTAGAGTTAGTTAGACGTAACAAATTCAATAGAAAGATACATTTACAGCCGTCTATTAACTAACTTAACACTAACAGAATAACAAACTATCCATTATCATACATAATATTTGCACAAAACAAAATTTATTAACTTCTATTTTGGCTTAGGACAAGTTTGGGCGTCCAAGGGATTCAATATAAGCTGACACAAGAAAATAGATAAACTTGAACCTTCTTCAGAACATTTAAGTATGCCACAAGAGCTTTAGCATCCCCCTCCTGAATTTCAGGCCACATAGCTCCAGCAGTTTGAAGAGATTGTTTGAATTTCTCGTCATAAATTGTTAAGCATTCAAATAAAGTGCTCCATCCAATTGAGCGAAATGCTTTACCTTGCAGCAACTCATAAACCTTTGAAGCACCTTCTTGACTGCAAGCCTAGAAAGCAGTTTCCCAAAATTATGTCGTATAAAAATGGTTGAAAAGAAAACTTAAGACATCATAGAGAGTAAAAAACGTCATCCTCACCAAGGTGCTCAGCATATTCAAGAATGCCACAAGCGTGTGGAAATTTGTATGGTCCTCTCCAGCAAAATTTGCAAATGTCCACAATACATCATTGCCAGACAAGAGTTCTGGTTCTTTCTGATAACTTGACAACATTAAAGGTCATGTTTGAAAGGAAAAGCCTTAAAAATCAGCCAAGCACATTACTTTAATCTGATAAGCCTAAAACAATAATGCATCCAAACCCTATATAAACATACAACCACAGCTTGAACAGACTTTTTTCCTAAACAAATGTATAGTAGTGTCATCAGGGAAAAGGAACATCTACACTGCCATCAATAATTTGAATCACCAGATCTATTTCAAACTTGCACTGATTGCTTACAAGAAAAGAAAATTTTCATGTTTTGTTACTATTTGGTCAAACTGACCTGATAAATATCGCTCACAAAGTCCAAGATTGAATTAAATGGCAAAGGGCCATGAAGAGAACTTGAATTAGTGTCTTGTGCAAAATCATGAGATCCAACAACTCGGTATGTACTAAGCACACTCATAGATCGCTCCTTCGTTTCTTTTATCTGCAAAATGCATAATATTCAAAAAGATAAGTGCAGAACTAAATATTTTGAATAAAAAAGATACACCAGTGTGGATAAAAATATAATTTGAAATAATTATCCAAACAAAATATCTTCTGCCACATGTACTTACAATTGCCAAAATTTAAAACAAATTCAATGCTCAGAAAGAACCAGACATTTAAGAATAGAAGTGAATATTTAATAATAATTTTGTAGAAAATGATTAACATTGCAGTTGAAAAAGGAAATCAATTTAAATTATTGAACAAAAATCAAACAGTTAGTAGTAAATTAAACTATAATTGGAAAGAGAGAAAAAAATATGAAAGAGCTAAAAGCTGCCGGTGCTGTCCAGTAATATTCAGGTACATATACAGTTACCATCCTGATTTCCTAACCATCACATTCAAAACCTGAAAAGAATTGGAAAGTGATCTATGGGATGACCTTACATTGTTATCATTTCGAAACCATGTAAAAATATGAGGAATAATCCAAAGAAAAATGAGAAAAAGAAACACCTTTCAACTGTCAAATTCCACTTATTTTAAATGAAACAAAAATATAGCAAGTATATACACAAGTACAAAAAACAGGGCAAATATAAATAATGAAGTTAGAAATAACAAAAACCTACAATCATGACTTCTCAGACAATAATTCCATGATTCAACTGCTATATAAAAGAAGAGATCAGAGGTCTGAAAAGAGTAGTTAACATCGATCAAGTAGTTTGAGAACTAAAACCAAATCCTAGCAAAAATTGTGCACTCAATCAACCAAATAAGCTTGTTCCATATGTACGTGCAGAAAAATTAATTAACCTTGTCTCTTGCTAGAGGGTTAGACAAAAAGCAGGTAATCAGTTTGTGCAGATAAGCATTGTACATGTAGACCATATCTTCATCCTCCGTCTGTAAGATAACAAGCAGACTTTTCAATAGGATACCAATGAAGTATAGTCATGATCCATGAAAAGTTACAGTAAATACAGAATTCCAATTAAGTGATATTGCACAAATTCAAAAAGCTAGAATAACTTGTATACTCCTTGAGAATCTTAATATTTTGGTGTGTAGAGGACAATACAAAAAAAGAATTCAAGGAAACAATCTCGTACAGGACAAGTTTCCAAAGAGTGATCTACACCCTCACAAAGATCATAATATGAATAATTATAAATATAATCAATATCTTAATTGTATAAACTAACCTGTTTCCTTATATACTAATATTGGCACATAACTATTTGTTAGAATAAGTATTAAAATCTGGGGTAGGAAACAGTTGGGTTGGGAACTACTTCTTGTTGTACCTATGAGTTGTCCCTAGTAGACTAGTGTAGTCTTTTTATTTTCATCTTCCGATTATATCAGATTCCGACCAATATAAATAGTAGATCATAAGAGGGATCTTTCAAACCCTCCAAAAATATATCTCTCTTTAATCTTAAGTTGGTAAGAGAGTGGGTCGATCCCGCTCTGCTGGTCTCAATCTTCTCCTACATTTATTTTCACCTCAGTTCATTGTTTGTCGCCGACCACCTACTTAGTTTTCTTCGACAACCACCAGATTTGAACTGTCTCCTTGAGAAACAACCAACCCCACCAATCTCAAACCCTGATTTCGCTGCATGCACCGTCATGCACCACGTTTCTCTTCGCTACTACTTTGCGTGTGAAGCTCATGTGATGCCTTCCCCTTCATTGGGCGACATCGAACCACCTCGCCAGTGCTCTTTGGACCTCCTTCACGTTGGTTCCAATCCTTGGTTGTTCTTTCCCAATGTGGTTATTATCAAGGGTTCCCTAATTAAACCTAGGGTTTTCCCTTTATTGTTCTTGTTCATTGGTTTCGTTGTCTCTTTTGGTTTCCTCAAAAGTGCCTATTGGAGTTATTTATCATTCTTTGGAAATCCTTCTATTACTTATGAGAAACAAAAATGGAGAAAATTACCTCATTTGGTCTGCATTAGTTGAAATGTGGTTGTTTGGCCAAGGTTATCATGACCACCTAGAACAAGATAGAAGTAATGTGCTTTCTAAGAAAGCTAAATAGTTGAAGCAAATTGACTTTCAGCTATGTGCCTTGTGGCAATTTGTGGAACCAAAATTACTAGGTACCCACACTTAGATCCTTTCAAACTTGCAACTCCTTTTGGAAGAAAGCACAGAATATTTTTAAAAACGATATTTAGCACCTTTATGACTCTACGAATAGGCTTGCCTCTCTCAAACAATCAGATCATGACATGGTGTCCTTCAACAAGAAAGCTCAATTTGCAGTTCAACAATTGAAGATGTTCTTGGAGGTTGAGTCTTTGAGTGAGATCAAGAAAAAACTTCACAAATACTACATGATTGATCACGAATGGTCTTTACATCTTCCCATGTAGCGCCTTCAAGTCCTCCCAAATTCCATTGAATAAGTTGAGGGATGGATATCCCACAGCACCCTGGAATCCAAGACCTTGAAAAGAGTTATGCCAGAAGGTCTTGTTCAACTTGATGGGTACCTATGGCATGTTTAAGTTGAGAGACATGGAAGACAAGATGAATTTGGGTCGTCACTGGCAACTGGAGGCGAAAAGCCACGGGAACCACAAATCGCTGTCGAAGTAAATAAGGTCTCCAATGTTGAATTGCTAGCACCAAGGCCATTAGTTCCTTCTCATAAATAAACTTAGAAAAAGAAGAATCACTTAAAAGCCTTGCTAAAATAAGCAATAGGCCGACGATTTTGAGACAAAACAGCCCAATACCCCTACCTACAGCATCACATTCCACATGAAATGTTTGAGAGAAATCTGGTAAAGCAAGTATTGGAGTTGTTGTTAATGCTATCTTCAAGATGTTCATAGCTTCGGTGCTTTGAACAGACCATACAAACTGCCCTATTTTTGATAAATATGTCAAAGGCCTTGTAATCTTGCCATAATCTTTAATGAAAGATCTATAATACCCTGTAAGGCCTAAGAAACCCCTTAGGGCCTTATTAAACCGTGGATCAGGCATATCTTGAACAACCAAAACCTTCTCTGGGTCCATCTATACCCCCTGACTTGAGATAACATGACCCAAATACCTGATTTGCTTCTTCCCAAATTCACATTTTTTTTTCGTTAGTAAACAATTGTTGTCCTAAAATACTAAGAACCTGGTGGAGATGTTCTGTGTGCTCCTCCCAAGTCTTGTTGTAAACCAATATATCATCAAAGAAAACAAGCGCATTCTTCCTTAAAAACTCCTTCAGAACAGTATTCATGATGCTTTGGAATGTCACAGGGGCATTTGATAGCCCAAATGGCATCACCAAAACTCATAGTGCCCATGATGTGTCCTGAACGCCGTTTTAGGGATATCGTTCTCCTTTGTCTTTATTTGATGATACCCCACCCTCAAATCAATTTTAGAGAAGTAACTAGCACCATACAATTCATCTAACAACTCCTCTATCACTGGGATAGGAAATTTATCTGAAATTGTAGCCTTATTTAAAGCCCGATAATCAATGCAAAAATGTCAACTTCCATCTTTCTTCTTAACCAAAATCGCTAGACTTGAATAAGGACTTTTACTAGGTCTAATAATTCATGTTTGCAACATCTCAGCGACTTGTTTCTCAATTTCTGCCTTTAATAGGTGTGGGTATCTATAAGGTCTCACATTGATTGGATCTATTATGGCTTTAATTGGAATTTGATGGTTCAAATGCCTTCAAAAGTACCTAGAATTTCCTGCAACTCTGTTTTGCTTGGTTGTTAACTGGTTTTGTTCCCCACATCCCTTCTCCAATTCGGCATTACCCATCTCTCAAACTAATGGCACCACTTCAATCTCCTTTTCTTTTAATAAAACTATTGGAGTCACCACTCTTTTGGTTAAAGAAGGATCCCCTTTTTCAAACGAAGGAAGTTCCACTTTTTTTCACCTACCTCCACTGGTATTCTCTTTAGTCTTCCTCCCATTCGTCATCAATCTCCTCTTTTTCCCACTTTGTCCCCGTTTACAGAACCTCCACTTCCTTCAGACCCCTTTTTCAATATTCTTAAGTTTGCACATAACATCCTCTATCTATCACTTAGCCTTTGAAAGTTGGCTCCAGATTCTTCCTTCATTTCCTCAATTGCCCTCTATACTATGCTCACTCTACTCTCCATGACTCTGTTGGTGTTTTTGATCCGACAAGTCGAACCAAATTGTTAGGTTTCTTGAGAACAAGAAACCGGATATTCAGAATCAGTAAAGAAATAAGCACTCAAATCTTTCTACACAACTTAAGATAATACTTTAATTAAAGAAAACATAATATAGAAAACATTCAACAACTTCCAAGGGAAGTAAATCCCTTCTACACACGACAAGTCCTAATCCAAAAAAGAAAATACAACACACCCACTAGGAGGAACTATTTCCTCCTTAAAAGATAACCCTTACTAAACTTAATCACTACCTATAACCACCCCTAAACTGCCCATCCACCATTAACTGTCATGAAACTTCTGATTTTGAACCTTCTTCCTAAGGTACACCTTAAAGGTCTTATCATAAGATGAATATTTCAAGCCCTCCAAAATACATTTTTCTCTCTTTTTAATCTTAAGTCTGTTATTTTCAACAAATCCCTCAAATAACCCATAATATGAACACTGTTTTAAAAATATTTTGGAGCATCTCAAATGAACTCTAAGAATAGGTTTTCGAATTTCCTTGTGTTTTTCTCTTTGATATGTTTCATAAGTTAAATAGAATTAACAATCAAGTAAAAGAATAAGAATTAATGTTGTCTTTTGCAACATATCCTTGACAAAAGAATCAGTAACATTTTGCAGTTCTCATTATTTTCTGCTCCCTCCAACAAAAAATTAGTAGAAAGAAAAAAAATTATAATAACATTGAAATTTGAAAACTCAAAAAAGATATTACTAAGTGCTTGAGAAATATACCAATGTTATCGATATCGAATAACGGAAGATATCAAAATATCGGAGACTCAAAAATCCTTTATAAAATTATAACGGAAACCATAACAGGTTATGGCAGAAACATTGCCTTCAAAAGAAATATAATAGCACCACATGTAATTCTAATGCAAAAGTAATGATATTATAGTTAAAATTGGTATTTTTATTAAAAATAATATAGTAAAACTGGAAAAGAAGAAAAATTTTAAAAACAAAATTGAAAATAAAAAAAAAAAACAGGCTTGGCTGGCGGAGGATGATGGCAGCGGCGAGCGGTGGCGGCAGTGACCGGCGAGCAGTGTCTGCAGTGGTGGCAGTTGGGAGCAGTAAGTTAGGGCAACTGGAAAAGAATAAAAGAAAAAGTGTTTTAAAGTTGTGTATTAGAGTGGGTTTTGAATTTTTATTGGGCCTGGACCAATTTTTAACTGTTCTAAACACAGAAAACAAATAAGGTTTGTGCAATTAGGGTTTCCTATCATGTGTACCACTGCTGCCCCTCCCTTCTCCCACTTTGCTGTTACTTTTTTTCACGCAGATGTCATCTTTCTTCTCCAATCCGCTTCTTACACCATTGTCGTTTTGCCATTGTCGTTCCGCCACCGCCAGTCGCTATGCCAAAAGCGGCCGCCATGGACCACCACAGGAAATCCGTTTCACCACCGCCTTGTTGTAGCAGCAGGTCAAAAAACCGCTACCAGTTTCCACCATGGCCGAAATTTGATAACACTGTAATATACACTTGAGAAAAATTCTTTCCACTTACATAATCGAAGTGCTAGTCTTTTGGAAATTAAAGCAAATTTACTTTTACAGGTATTCCATTAACAGATATACAGAAAGATTGAGAAAAGGCTTTGCTCCATTCTTGTTTTCACTTTTCACGTATTGCTTTATTTTCCCTTTTTACCTCGTGAAGAACCCCTTGTCCTCTCAATGAATATATTTTTTATCAAAAAGTAAAAACAAAAATAAAAAATACCATAGAATTATACCTGGTAAGCAGCAGTACGAAGAACTTTATCAAGTAAAAACTGAAAAACATTATTTGAGAAAATGACTTCCAAGCATTGACTAAGATAACCCAGTTCGTTTGATGACCCACTTGAAATAGTCTCTCTTGTTACAGCACCATCTTGTATTAATATTAAATATACCGCCCAAGCAAGCCTTACGCCACCAACAAATCCCTCAACAATTGGATCATTTCCAGCAGCCATTACCTTAAACATTAAAAAACTTCAACATTATTCCAATTTCATACTAAATATTGTAAACAATTAGTACAGAGAAAAAAGCAATTATATTTTCTCTTACAAGCTCATGAAATTCGTGTTTGAAGGAAGTATTTGAAGAAAGGACAGATGCTTTATCAGGCACTGTACTCAAACCATCTGAAACAAACGCAATCACAAGGGCAAAGAGAAGACAAAAGGTAATCTGCAATACAAAGTGAAAATTATAAGAGTAACACATGAGGAAAAGTTTATGAGCAAAGTGAGCTAAGTCAGACAGAATAAATAACAAGTGCATCTTGATACTCATGCGGAAGCATGTATCTCTCAAAATATTCAAGTTTAACCTTTTCAAAAATCAAACTTATCATTTTCTCATAAAAATAATAAAATAAAAATGCGCAAAAAAAGAAACTATTCATTTTTTACATCACCAATCTAACTGCTGATTCTGAACAAAATACAAAATATTTGAATGGTAAATTAGACACAGCCAAGGACATTTTTTTCTTTTAAATGTAGATGGAAAAAAAGTATGTACCTAGTTAAGGAATCTGCTGGCTCAATTAGTATACTTTGAAATCAATGTTGTCAAAATCAAGATCTTACACAGGATAGGATGAAAGATCATAATTTTAAGGATCATAATAAGACTGAATTAGGAAAGTCATATACAGATATGCATGTGAAAAAGGTGATATAAATAACAAAAGATAAACTGAACTAAAGTAAAACCAAAAAATAATCCAGGGATTTATATGGATAAGTTTCCTTGTACTCATTAATATATATAACTACTGAATTTTCCAACCGTGACATACCCTGATATTATGAGATAAGACACTGCACATCAGGGATTCTTGATAACTACATATTACTTTCATAACCATGAATAAATAATATTAAAATACACAATCCAAGTATTTTAATATATATACTAGGAGAAATGAGGCACCTTGCACCCCCTCCGTATTTTGGATTGAAAAAGATTAATAAACGCGGTTGGTTCTGACAATGCAGTTAGGGTATTGGTTGCTTGACTAGTTTATTCACAGGAATAAAATAAAAATTTATAGAGAAGGGTTTGGGGGCAAAATAGTTCACAAAAATATCTACACTAAACCTCATATATCCCTATATACAAATATGAAGATATATATCATATAATATAATGTAATAAATACAAATAAGTCAAATTAGTGTATGTAATTCTAGGAAAGTAAGCTTGTATTTTACAAATGATGCCGGTATTTCATAACTAGCCTATAGGCAAGCGAAAAATGGATGAATTCAAGTTAGAACAACAATAAATCAAAGCATAAAAAGGAGTTTCTTATCACAAAGAATGAGAGGCAAAATCAGACAAATAACATGCCCATAATCCACAACAAAGATAAAGTGTGACAGCGGAAGACAACAAGAAGAACCCAGCAGTACTACTCATGTCAGAATAAGCAAAAGCTTCAAGAGTGTTAGGCAAAGACGAGAATAAGAATATCCGTGTTATATTATGATAGAGACAAAGCAAGCAAGAGTTAAAGCTGAGATGGAAAACAGGGTCAGGTTCAATGGGTTTTACTTAAAAAGCAGGTCCAGAGGAAGATCAAGTCCGCTAAGATTGTATGACCTTGGATCAGGAAGATCACATTAATAAGAATCTAAAGAAAAACAGTCCCACAACAAATTTTGAACATGATTAGGCAAGAAAATCATAGTATCATATGATTCTGTGATCTTTACAAAAATTTCAATAGCACTGGATTAGATTTTTTCAGTTACATATATCCACTCTTCCCTCTATCCTTTTCCCAACTCTGATTCAAATTTTTTTCAATTATGGTAAAAGCCGACAAATTTCTTCATTTTCAGATCATTAGTTTCACCAAATGATTTAGAGATGAAGATAACAATCATTGAATACATTTATCACCAAAGAAGATGAATGAAATTTATACCCTGAATAACAATTTCTTACCATGGGACATTGGTTGGATAGTTTTAATGCTTAAGAAATTATGATTTTGAAAACATAATTCTAATGCTCAAAAAACAAAAAATATATATATAATTGAGCTCGGCGAGTATAGAAATGCACCTGATGTTTGACAATGGTATTGCTCTCACTAACTTCAGAAGCATTATCTTTCAAAACAGAAAAAATATCTTTAATATCCTTTGGACCTGAAAATGGAGATCGTGGATGAACTTCCATTTGAAATATTAATCAAGTATTCAAGAAGTATAATCTGTCACAAAATACAATAAACCAAGTAGAGCCTCAGCAGACAAGAAATAACACTAAACATACTTGTCCGAACAACTAGAATCGAAAGGACAAGACAATGCCCAAGAATAAGTCTTTCTCTAGAGACCACTGCCTGCCTCTCCACAAGAGAACCTCTTGAATCAATAATAAAGCGCTCACACTGAAGACCACCCAAACCAGAAGGTTCTTCTCTATTGAGTTCCTACATTCAAAAAGCAAATTCTAATAAAAAACTATGTTTACATTCTAGGTTAATCCAAAAGTTACACGTTCACATAATATATTAGATACTCTAGTCAAGATTAAGAAAATAAACCACCACATTGGTTAACTTGCCAATCATATGCTTATAAGATTAGATAGTTTATTGATCATGTTTCTTCAAGAGACAATTAAGCATAGTAATCAACAACAGTGTACCTGACACATACTTGTGCATCAGAAAATGTCTTTAACTATGAAATATGAACTCATATATAATACAAGCAGGACCATTGAGGTTAATTAAAGTAGTTACAATATTAAAAAGCATGTTTAGGTTATTCACCAGCCAATATAGAGCCACAATAATCAATATAAACTGCCAGTTTTTAAACACAGAATTTTTAAAACCAAATCACTACTAATATATAAATATTAATTATTACAACCAATTACGTCAAATTTTAAGTAGTTGAATCGATGTAAGCCAATACTCAGGTAAAATCTGTTACAGTGAATATGAAGAACATCTAGTCAACTCTGACAATAGCTTGGCAATAAACAATACCCACTCTCTAAGAGCCTTTACCCTAAATTGGAATATAATCTTGAAGTTACAGAACAAAACATTAATTAATAACTCATTACAAATCAAACCTTGATAAGAGAAATTAACCGCTGCCTAAGTCCTGAAATGATAAGATCTTCTAGATACTTCTGAATGTCTACCAATATATCATCTTGCAGTCCCTGATCTAGCACCACAGCCTATAAGAAAACAATACAGAGGTATTAACCACAAACTAAATAATTAAATAATGGCCAAATGAACTTCAATGATTCCTTAAATAAAAAGAAATACCCTTAAGAGCAAATGGAGGGATGTTATCAAATCTCTTCTCTCTGTATACCAGAGTCCTGCCGCAAGCCGTAAAATTTCCAGTGGTTCCCTTCCCATTAATCCCCACTACAGATAAAACCAAAGCAAATAATCAAATATAAATGATGCACATGTATTGACAATATCATTCATGGAATCTTGGTCTCTCAGTCCAACATAAAAACTGGAAAATTAAATGCATTAAATAACCACAACTAAAACTAACCCATCTGTAAACTAAACCACCTTCAACATTTCCACTCAGTCCTTAATTTTCATAAAATTATATGAAAATTATTTTCTTTACTAAAACTACAATTTAAAATCAAAAGGAAACGATAATGAAGCAGGTAACAATAAAATTAAAAAAATTATGTACCCAAATCATATGGCTATTCATTGTGTGTGCCACAAAGTCTGTTAATGTATATAAAGCAAATTAAAAGCTGAAGTTTACCTCTTGATTAGCTGATACAAGCAAACGAACACAATCTACTTCATTGAGATGGAGATCATCACTCAACTTGAGCGCCTAAGGGTCATATAAGCAGTTGTTAGGAAAAAGGAAGGGCAAATAAAACCGCAATAAGACCCCAAACAAGATGTGCACACATATCACCAAGATAAACAAAGTTATTACTCATTGGTGGCAAGAATCATATTAATAAAATCGTAAGACTTCATCAACAAATCCTGAAAATGAAATAATCGTAGGAAACTAGCAATTTAAAGAGAAAATAAAGTCAAAACTTTAAATAAATAAATATACAAAAAGTGACCTGAAAAAGAAAAAAGGACCACAACACATACCATACAACAAAGATAAAAAAAAAAAAAACCATACGTGTAATTATAAATACATCCAGTGAAGCTAGCCTAACGTACTATGGCAGGACAAGAAAAGGGTCCAGTCCCTTCTTCTGGTTAAGGTGCTGCCCCTTAGGTGAGGCCCACACCTTTCATTCAACGCGCTTGTGCAGTTGTGCCTCATAATAGAAGATGCACTGCCCCCATTGGTACCTTCCTAGTGGATTTGGCAAAGCCTAGCGAACAAAAGTCCTATGATTAAATTTAAAAGACAGTGGCTGCTAGGAGTCATTCAAGCTAAGTAAAACAAAGGAGTAAAACACCTCCGCCATCAGTTGAACTAATAGGCACTTTCTTAGTTTTGATTTGCTCTTCTATTCCGAGGTAAGTGTTTCAGCATTTTTTTTTTAATTTTTCCTTGACACCACTTCCTCCAAGTGTTATTGCCTTTTAAAAAGATTTGTCATGGCACATAATTTCCCATGATATCAACATAAAGAGTAAAATGACTTGGAACCTTCAAGCATAAGATCAGAAAAATTGTAGCATGATGCTGGTAGAAAAGATTAGACTTAAGAACAATGCTTCCCTTAATAATCTATAATTGACCTCATCAATATAGACATTCAAAATCCAATTTGACGTGCCAAAGAAGTAGGGATGTTTCGTTCAACGTATTTATTGAAATAAATGATTTTTTTACCAAAATCCAGCAAACTCCAGAATAAAAACGAGTATTTTGAAGGAAATAACTTTGAATCAAACATGTGCTTCAAGAGGGGATACTTAAGAACAATGAAAAGCTCAAATAGACAAAACCCAAGAAACTCAAAGCACTAAGGGATTTCAATCATTCAACTCCTATTTCATTTGTCATCATTTTTCTAATAATATGTAATTCGATTTCCATTATACAGGCACATAAGCCTGTAAAGATTAACAATCGTTCGATTCCCATTACCACTTATCATATTTTATACATATGTGAGCATGTGCATGTGTGGCTGCGCAAGCCAAGGGTCAAACATAATAGGTATAGATTACAAGTGGACAAAGGGATTTCACTTTGACCCCTAGCTCTAACGTCTTTTATTTGGTCTTCCCAATTTAAGTTTCACCACTAAAGTTACGAAATTGACTATCTTCCTGTTTCAGTCACCTCGCATTTTGGTCAAACCAAAACATTCCGTTCATAGAATAAACTAGATATACATTTTCTTTATAGGAAAACATAAGCAACGAAACTTATCCAATGCCCGGACTTTTACTGAATACAAACCATGTTAAATACTAGCAGCGTAGAAAAGGTGCAGAATGGGAACTTACAATGTGCACATCCTGGTCGTCAAGTGAAATAGGAGAAGAATTAGGCAGCCTGACAGACTTTGACTGAACTTGGCTTCGATCAGAGGGTTTTGGGGGCTAAAGAAAAGACACAACAAAATACAAGTACAACAAAAGAGTTTTCATTTTAGTTTGAAATTGAATAGAAGAAAACAAAAATGGAAGTTAATAGCGTACTGGATAGGAGAGAAGGGACTGGAAGGAGATGACGGAAGTGCGAAGAGCGTGCAAGAGTTCTACGCGTTGCGCCGCCGTCGGAGACGAAGCGCCAAGAAGCGCTGATTCGATGGTGCCTAGGAGCTGCTTCGGAGACACCATTTTTTCGCCAGTCGCCGGTGAAACCCTAAAGCTGGAAGAAGAACGCGGAAAGATAGGTGCGTTCCCTTAGGGCCACTATAGCGGGAAATGAAGCAGTGGGGTTTCAGTGAAGATTGAAGATCCGGGAATGCGCTCTTATGCCAGCTTTAAACCCTATAAACCCCTCCTCTTTGAAAATTTGAGAAAACTAAACTAAAATTCAAACCATCAAAGGAAGGAGACCATTTTTTTTTCTTAATTTGGTTAAAGAAAATAATGGAATGCATACACAACTAATATTTAAAATAGTTTTACTCATTTAATAAAAGATTGAGCGTGATTATGACTTTTAAGATAAATAAAATTTATAGATCTATCATATGTAATTAATAATTTATAAAAAAATACACAAAACATTTTATTTTTGAAATTCAAGATTAACATTATTAAAGAACATTTGGTATTTCATTCTTCATTTGAGATTGAAAGGACTACCGTAAGTCAAAAGTAGTATGAAAAAAGTGTTTAAAATCTCAATGTGTGAAGTGTATAACGAGGGGTAAGTTAAAGTATAGGCCTAACTAGTATTTTATTTTTTATATTTAGATTTATTATTTACTTTGATTTAATATCTTTGTTAAATCAAGTTTTAATATTTATTAAGTAGAGATTATTCAATTTATTATGTTAAATTATGGATAATGTCGTTTGGAATTGTTATTTGTCAAAAATTTATTTCATTCTTTATTTTGGAACTTTTCTAGTTTTCTTTTTTCTTTTTTTTCTTCCCTCATCTCTCCCCACCTCCCACTGAATATTTATTTTGCACAATTTCTAGATAATAAAATACTACGGTATCAAAGGATAACTTTATTTATGAAATTTCAAAAACAACATTCTTACCAAAGCATGGTAGAGTATGGTAGCAAATTTTAAAATCTCATTTTGATTTTCTTAACTACACTCTATGATAATCTAGAATCTTAATTTTATTTTTTTAACTATATTCGGTAAAGGAAAATGGTAGTAGAAGGTGGACAAGGGAGGAATGTGGAAGAAAAAAACATAAGGATTCAATGGTAAAAGATGAAGTGGATTTTTACAAGTGACACTTGTAAATGACATTAATGTTAATTTATCATAAAAGACCAAATTTACTTTAAGTGATATTTGAACTCAATTGAGTAAAAAATATATATGGACCAAAGTTAATTATAGGCCTAAATTTAGAAACCAAATTACCAATTAAGCCTTAAAGTGTATGATTAATCATTATTGAAGTATTTGTTATTATTGTCAAAATTTGTCATGGATGTTTGCATTTATGTAGCTTGTATAGATGTTGTAATGTTAATCCTTGTGTTTTAATGTTAAACTTTTAAGAGTTGTGTTTGTGTCTTTGCACAATGTTGTTGAAGGGCATCATTGACCATTAGTGGATCGGATCCATGGTGCTCGCAATTGAAGGTGCACCACTTAGATAGGCCACTTGGATGGTTCTCTTTGAATTTGAGAATTTAATGAAAGTGGTCCTAAAAGGGGCTTAATGGTTTGAAGTTGTGTGACCAAATAGGTAGTAACACCTTCCTCAGCAACTTTGGCTTTAAGCTCAGCCTTAGTTTTTCTTTGTTTAGCCTCTTTTATTGTTCATTCCACTTTGTTCTTTCTTTAAAAGCTTCTACTCTCAACTTTTTTATTGTTCATTCCACTTTGTTCTTTCTTTAAAAGCTTCTACTCTCAACTTTTTTATAATTTTCGTGATGGAAGATCAATAAATTCAAATAGGTGTTGAAGAAGAAGTAATCTTCATGGACTTTCATAGGAATGCTTGTGACAATGGAGAAAACAAGGCAAGAAGAAGAATAACTTCCAAAAAACACTACAAAATGGATTAAAGGTAAGAAGATAAATAGACTATGCCACCTTAGGAACACCATTCAAGGAAGCTTTTCAACATAAGAACCAAAAAATTTTAGTACATGTTTGAAATAAAATCTACATAGCATAAGTTTATTATGTGACAGTAGTGGTAATGTTAGGTTTAAGAAAGACTAATGTGTAGTCAGGAACTCTTATGAGACTCCATTATCTTTTGTTAATGTACAAGTTAAAATGTACAATATTGAGATAAACGATTTATCGGCTTAAAAAGTCTTATGCCTTGAGACTATAAAGCAAGATCATTAGGTTTGACATAGAAAGTGTTATCACGCAAGCTTGAGGTTACTTTTAAAATTACAAAATCGCAACCTTATAAGGAGTTTGTGAGAAAGTCTTTAAATGACATCTTTTTGTGTGAAACATGTATAAAAGGAAAGCATGTTAAAGTCAAATCAACGAAGTTAATGCTCAAAAACCACTTAAGTTGATAGACTTATTCATTCCAATCGAACTAGATTTATTGATGGTAAATGATACGATCTAATCGTCTTAGATGAATTCTATGAATAAACTTAGATAAAATTATTGACCCATAATGATGAAACTTTCAAACTCTTTCATAAATTTTACAAACATGCTTAAAATGAAAAGGTCTAGCAATTGTTTCTATCAAAAGTAAGTTTAGCTTTGGGCAACCAAAAACAAGTCGAACGAGGTTGACTCCCAATGTGTAGGTTGACGGGATAGCCTACCATTTTTCAACTTTTCTTTTAAAGAACTTTCTTTTTTTGATAAGTGTTTTTTGATAAGTGTTTTTTTGATAAGTGTTGTTTATGTGTTTGGCCTTATTTATTTACTTATAGACATTGGTATTACTTTTTGGAAAGTCAGAAAGCAATCGACACCAATAAAATCAAATCAAACTTGATTATTATAATCAAACAAAGTCAAAATGAATAATACTCTACAAATCAAATTATATATAAAGAAATTAATGTAAAAAATGTTTGATATAAAATATTGACAACAACCAACTTTTATTCCCAAAGCATCATAAATAAAGTGAATACATAACAAATACAATAAAAGACCAATAAATATCACAAATTATTATCAATGTGAACTCGCTCTTTTCCATAAGTAAAAGAGATTTTCATTGGTAAATGGGATACACTTCTCACTAGACGAGAATAAAACTTGTTGGGCGATCAGAAGAGTTCTATCGCTGGCCAAGAAGGTCATGAAACACTTCCTTCAATTCGCTTGAAACTTACACTTTACAAAAATTTTAGGAAAATTATATCTCCAAAAGAATTTTGTTTTCATGAGTTAAACAAAAATCTACGTCAAAAAGACAAAAAAAATCTAATAAGCATGGGAAACAAGTTATTATCACACTTATCGATGCTAAACTCGAAGAAAATTTAGTTGAAACCTGAACAGACTTGATGTATTTTTCCTAAAGAGATCTTGTATACTTAGATACCGAAAAATAACTTTATGTCCTTATTTGTAAGCTAAAAACAACAATAGTAATACTTATAATTTATCTTCAAATAGGGTAACTCATTGTTGCTTAAATTTGAAGAAATAAAGGTAGAATTGGTTAGATGAACTAATTTAATGCGTATACATTAATTATCCCATTATAAAAGTTTTGGTAAAAACTTTTACAAAACCATCAAATAACCCTCATTTGTGTATGTTAGACACTTGCAAATAGTTTTCGATACTTCTTTTAATATATTTACATTCAATTCTCCCTTTATTTTAAAGCTAACCTATATAACTTCTATGACATTCAATAACATCTCTTTCTACATTGGTTTATAAATTGATAGTGAATTCCTATCAAACGGTAAGTGGAATATTGTTGTTGTAGTATGAATATATACAAACATAATTCACAGTTTGGACCCATTATTTAAAGTAAAAAAGAAAATTGGTATAAATTTTTCCCCACTTTGGATTTCTCATAAACTTATGAGTCAAAGAGTAATTCTATTTATGATATTGTTAATCCATGGGTGAAATTGAACCTAAATTACATGATAATATAAGTTATATATATATATATATATA